TATAGAGATAGATATATCTATATATATATATATATAAACAAAAAAAAAATTAGCAAAATTAAAAGTAGCATTGTGGTTTTAAATGTGTTTTTACTGGCCTCAGAATCTACCTTCATTTCGTACTGTAGAACCATACCAGGTAATTGAATTTAACTTCATCACTCTTCACGGTTGGTTAAAACCTGAGAGAGATGTTGTAGTTTAAACTACAGTATTTCCAAGCAGTGTTTTAATAGGTCTCTTCAGAGAGAGCTGTTTTCAGGTGCACATTGACTTCCTACTTAAAGCTCCAAGTGATATGTCAGCACTTGGAATTCGTACTTTTTTTTGTATTAAAAAAACAAATACTCTATGGGAATTTCAAGCAATATGTCTGTTATTTCATGTGTGAGTATTACAGAGTTGCTATGGCTTCCCTATTATTTTCAGTGGTTGTTTTCTGCATAAAGGAACTACCAACAACTTTAACAATATTCTAAATCTTTTTGTTTCACCAAATGTTTTTTTTAATATGGTGCTAACTTCATCATTTAGGTCAGTATAATATATAAAATGTGAAACCTAATGGTAACAGTTAAGCAAAAGAAAAAAAAACACAAAACAAAACAAAAACCAACAACAAACATACAAACAAAAAACCCACCCCAAACAAACCAACCACAACAAAAAAACCCAATAGCTTAAGAGACCTCAAAAGCATGAACTGGCAAACACTACCGTGTAAAATTCAACCTGATGAACAGAATTAAATTAATCACATGCTTCTTTAAAATACAGGTTTTATATAATTGGGCCTTACGTTTGTTTAGCGAATATTGAAAATACATCTGTGAACATGCTGTTTAACTCCTGAAATTTAGAAAATAAAAGCTCATTCCTAAATTACAGGAAAGCAAAAAGGTAGGTTTGCTATCTTGTAAAGCTTTTTTGGCTCCTGTGAAGTTGGGGCATATTTGTGCAGTAGCTTTATTAAATACACTAGTTCTTAATATTGTGACAGTCTGCAATAAGAATTAATTTCACTAAATACAGATTTACAGTATAAATCCCACGTGCTCCATTAGAGCAGTTTCAGTTAAATTGAGTACATAATTTGCCTCTTTGTCCTAAAATTGCCTAAATAAAGAGGCAGAGGGTGGGGAGATGTCTCTCTCCTTGAAGCAACAATAGAACTTTTGTTTCCGGTAAGGGAAAGTATATGTCTGTGTCTAGGGAAGGTAGTCTGTATGTTTACCCACTTAAAAACATGTTGGTGTTTCTGATACTGTTTTTTTTCTAAATGTTTGTTTTAAGTGATTAAATGCAAAAAAAATGTGTTTTGATAAATTGAGACATGCAAAATCCAAGAAATGTACAGTTATTTTTAACCCTTTATCTTGGACCTGTGCTGTGGTGCCTTTGGTGTGACTTTTTCCATGGAAGTATGAGTTGAGGATAGCAGGATATGGGTACTAATTTTATATTTCTTGAATTTATCTGTGTCACAATCTTAACATTATTTAAATCTAGTTCTTTGTATTTGTAAATGTATTAAAATGGTTTGAGTTTACCAAAGAGTGACTTATCCAAAATTGTCTCTGACAAAAACAAACAAAAAACCAACATCACTTTGATTGTACAGGTTCAGGTTCAAAACATTGTAACGGGACTGTTAAGGGGCAGGAAACGATCACTTTTTCTACAGAATCATGATTCAGCAGTTGGCAAGTTCTTCTTGCTCCTATTCGTGTTGATACGCCATTTACCCTTTCCACTGCTAGCAGTGTTAATAATTATCAAGCCATAACACAGTACTGTAAAGTTCGGCAGTGCTTCAAAGGATGCATACGTAGGTGAGCATAAAACATCATTGAGCATTACCTTTACACTTACAAAGTGTGTGACTCTGGTAGAAAACGAACTTCAAATCTGGCAACAGCAATTAAATTGTGCCTTGTCACATAACGGTATGCCAGGATTAACATTGTCATGAAACATGAAGCATTATCTGATTGAAGTTCATTTCACAAGTCCACCAAAACAGAGTATGCTGTGTTATTTTAAGCAAATTATGGAAGTACTGTACAGTGTCTTGTGCCTGTACAGTTTTAAGTTAGCACAGAGCTGTTCCACATTTCATTTACAATAAATGCAGAAGTCAATAAAATATGTGAAGAAATATTTGACAGCAAAATAAATCATGAAATTATATAGGCTGGTTCATAATTGAGTCTCTTCTTAATCTACCTTTTTAATTATAGACAAATGTGAAAACAGTGACAGTGTCCTTTCCTCTAAATGTTTAACCTATTATGACAAACTGTGAAAATAAAGGATTTTATACCTTTGCTAATGTTTGTGGTTTTAAACAGTTATTTTAGTTTTCTTAATCAGTTATCTTCTGTATTATTTCTTTTAAACTTGTAAATACATTTAGAAAATAGCTTTGTAAATACTTACAGTATATTAAAAGTTCAGTTTGGTCAATAAGGCCTCAAGATTGGCTCTGCTTTTTTAGTGTGAAATCTTTCAATAGCTTAAAGGATACTGTCAATTCACTGTTCAGCAGAATATACTGTAGGCCTAAATTGATAGTTCTTAATGCAGTCTTCCCTAGCATAAATTCATGTTTTATGCTGCAGCCTTTGGCTTACTTTTAGACAAAACAATAAGGCCTCTTAATATGTTTAGGCTGAATTAAGGGAAGAACAGCAGGAATAAAATCAAGGGCTGGGAAAAGATTGAATGAGCTTTACCTTTAAATATATATATATATCTTATTTGAATTTTTGTATTAGTTTACTGTGATTCTTTTATTGTCATTTTTCTAAACAGGTTTCACATGAAACCATTGAAAGGGACTCAAATATGCAACACCTAATCTATTTTCCACGGGAATTTACCCTTGAATGGTGCTTTTTGACTGGTCAGGGTTATTTATTAAATTTTATATTTGAAAATATTTGGGGAATTATGTAAATTCTTTATATGAATCTGTTTATTTCTTGAATTGTAAATTTCATAATACTCAGTGGTTGAATTGGAATTTTAGTAAAGTCATTCAAAATGTTCAAAGTTTATAATCTGTGTGCATTTTACATATATTTTAACAAGTGCCAGAATAGTTGTATTTAATGTTGTAGATTTAATACTACTTGCACATCCCTGTGACAGCATTAACTTAAGTTACGCAAGTTTACATTTTAAAAAAAAAATGCTAAACAAACAAGTAAGCCTGGGACGTGTGTTCCTGTATTTCTTCAGGGGATGTGAAGCTAAGTATCAGTAACTGAGCAGGGTCGCTTCTAGTTTATATAAGTAACTCCTGCTATGGTAGATACAATAAACTGCTGTCTCTCCCACTTACATATGCTATGAATTCAGCCTTTGGACTTGGATTGCAAGCCTCTGGTTGTCTATCTGATTAGAGGTAGAGCTCTTGCACGATTTTAACAGTGTTTGTTTCTGACTGAAAAATTGTATTTTTAAATAACTTGTATTTGTATGGTTGTTTTTCATGATAAATAATTGAACAGTTTGAATGACTTGACTTGGTGTCATTATCTTGCAATATAAACCGGTAACCTCACAACTCCACACTTCATCACCATATGAAGTAAATGAAGCTAGCTAAGCTGATGCTGTAACAATTAATAACTTGCCATTAAGGATTATTTTATAGCATGAATTTTAAAGTATTTATTCAAATGATATTTTACTCTTGTATTCACTTTGTTTTTAGATTTGTGACATGAATATTTCAGTGCTGCTTTATTCTGATGAATTTGTTTCTTGCTTGTAAATTGCTTTTTTTATGGTATAAAGTCAATGGGAATTGCTGTTTGTAAATTAAAATGCTTCTAGAGCAAATCTATGGTGTCAGTGTCTACATTTAGATATTTAATTACTAAGGGACTTGCATTCTAGATGCTTTTCCTGAAGTGTTATAAAAAGTTGCAGTTTAATACTCATGTACCAATTAGGAATCAAAAATCTTTAGAGACAAACTACTCTTGAAGTTTCTCTTTTTTGCCAGCATTGCTTGTTTAGTTCTGGACAGATGATCATTTGAGTTTTGCGCTCCAAAAACTTTTGCAACTCTCAAAGCAAAACAAAAAAACCTGGCCGGGTGGTGGCAATCTGTCTAACAGCAAGCCAGAGGCAAGTCAGTTGGGTAGGGAGGTAATGTTTAATTTCTACAGCAGTATTTGTGTTTTATATTACGCCATATGTAACAGTAGAGCTAATACTATTCTCGGCAAGTGTGGGATACAGCTCCTCCTAGCCCACAAGCTTGAATTTAAGACAAGTAGCCAGCAAGTGCTTAGTGACCTCCAGCTGATAGCACAGCCTTAACTTGTTTCATGGCAGCTGGCTATTGACAGCTCTTTAAGTGCCTTTGTAACAAGCAGCTTCTTGGAGGAGTTAATATATCCTCAACCAAGTTGTATGCTATCACTGATTTGCTGAGATAGACTTACCCTTCCTGGGACAACTGGAATTTTGTAGAAAGAATTTTTGCTTTATATTCATGAAAACACAGCTGATACTATTAAATTTGGTTAAAATTTACCAACATTGTTGCCAGTTTTTCATTGTGTATGAGATGTATGCTAGCAAAGACTTCTGTTCTATAATAAAGCTGAATTAAATTT